CGTTGCCAAGCTTGTCATTAGGCTTTTCAAATGCTACTTTTGTTTTGAATGTTTTCCAACATGGCAAACGTGCATGAATTGTATTGGCCAAACATGTCAATGCAGGACCTTTGATAAAGGGCGTGATGTATTTACTCAAGGACCAATTGGGTTTCATAATCATGCTCCCAAATGGTACAATAACCCGGAATACATCACCACAATTTAAGGTCCGCTATGAACGCGCCGCGCAGTGCACGCGGTGTAAACGAGAGGCCGAGTAGCCACACCTGCCGTGCCAGTGCTGCTTGGGATTTGATGCGCGCGCGACATCGCAACGCGTCCACCAAAGGACGTGAACCTCGTTCGCCTTCGCACCAATTAAAATTGTTTTGCCTCTCGGAACGTCAAAGTGTCTCCCCGCTCGTCTTCATCCATCGGCCCATCCAGAGCCACTGGTTGAACTTAATACAATTTAAATTTCGATTTAAAGCTTTCGTGACTGCAGGGATTCATCTTCTTGGTTCTTTCGGTAAAGTCACGTAGAAGGGAAATAATAAAATAATAAAAATTAAACATAATAAAATAATTCTCACGACATTCAGACGCTGTCTTTCCGACAGACCTGTTCTTCACCTGAGGACGGCTGCTTGCGTTGTGGCCGAAACGTCGTGAGAATTATTTTATTATGTTTTATTTTTATTATTTTATTATTTCCCTTCTACGTGACTTTACCGAAAGAACCAAGAAGATTAATACAATTTTTTGTGGCTGAGCTCAGTATTTCTTTAGGACCTGCACAGTCGTCTCCCAACGAAGTGGCACTTGTTTTAGAGACCCAGGAGATGTTTTTGCCACCTGGATAGATCATCCACTCAGGTAAATACTTATCCACATAAACCCCCTACTACCCACACCCCCTCTTTGTTTCTCCCTAATTTAGTTTAACTTTTACTGGCCAGGATACTGCCAGGGTCAGGGTGTAACAATTACAACCACTGGACTAGGAGGTCATTAGTTCAATCTCCCATGCAGCAGTTGAAACACTGGTGAAACTTCCTTTGACGAATCTCCCCCCCTTACCCAGCACCCTCCCCCCGCCCCTGGTAGATCGCATATGGTGGGGTAAAATATGAGCACTCACCTTTCAAGATTGTCTTTTCAGCATGTTAGAGTAGGCCAAAATGCCCTCTGGAGTGACTCTGTAGGCCTACTCTAGTGGGAGGGCTTTCTGCCCGCAGTGGCGTGAGCGAGACTTTTCAGGGCTTCACCTTCAGCTGTGAAGCACTTCGTGAGGTTTTGACGACACTATACAGAGTGAACCATTATGGATAGCCCACGAACATTATAGACATGGGGATTAAATTGTAAAAAAAAAACACATTATTTAAAAGCCTCTACAATGTCTACATGTCCCCCAACCAACATCCTCAGTACACGTATTAGCCAGGCGGTGGTGGTGGCTATGCGCGTGGCTGCCTGTAATCCAGCACTGTGGAGGCCGCAGCGAGGGTTGGTGGATTAACGCACAAATGTCGTGAAACTCCCTTGCCATGGGCATCAACGTGCAATTCCCTTGAGTCGCCAGCAGCCTGCGGTAGAGCACACACATGCACTCCACCTGTGCCGTATTTATGGGATAGAGCGTTTCTCCTTCGCACGTGCGAATTCTCTGGGTGCTCCAGTTTCCTCCCACGTGTAAGCGAATTGGCCGATGACACCTTAATATATAGAGAACCGCAGAGCCTTGGCAATTGCTGGTAGTGCCGGCTCACCACGTGGCTGCCTTCTCGCTTGTCTGTGGTTCCTCATTGCGACTCTGAGTCATTCCCTCACGACGAGAATGAGGAAATGCTTCGGCGGTGGGCGTTACAAGTTTAAATTATTACATTATTATTACTTTTTCTAACTTTCCTCTGTAAAGTAGGGACGGAGCCATGGTCTGCTCCATTCAGTCACCTGTTGAGAAGAGCATAAGACATGTCTATGAGAAACTGTGGCGAGATGTTGACTACCTCGCCTGGTATACAGGAAGTCGTAGGTTCGATTCAGACACTGACGCCTGTTGTATATTTGGAGTTTGCGTGTTCTCCCCGTGGTCGAGTGGATTTTTCTCCGGGTCCTCTGTGTTTTCCCTCCACATTTAGAATCGTGCGTTTAGAGCATTTTTCTGGTGTAAACTTCCACGTGATAAGCCACTTCGTTGAGTTATCATTTGTGGCCAGGTCGCAACTGAAAAAGAGCTACACAGCTCAGTGAGTCTTACCTGGTCAAATAAAAAAATGTGTTTGTAGTTTTTTATTTAGTTTAAAAACCAATGGGGTATCTGTAAAAGAAATCGCGCTACACAATCACTCGTTAGCGGAACTGGGAAAAACGTCCCAAAGGGGGAGGGGGGGCTCCTCTATGAGAGTCTTGGAACTGAGAGAGGCTTTCCTGGGTAAATAAAGGACATTATTTTTATTATTTTAATCACCAGCCATGGTCAATCCACTGATGGATAAATGCCCCCCGCCCCCAAGAGCCGCCGTCGCCACCACCACTGATGGATCACCGCGACACACCAAAAAGCAGAGCCGTTTTCATCTCCCCATTATTATTATTATATTCCCTACTGTATTATACAATGGGCGTATTTACAGTCATCTTACATCGTCATACATTTGAAACTTGGAAGAATTAAAACACTGCTTTGTTTTTTTTCGGCGCTGGGCCGTAGAAACAACATGTCTTGCGCGTTCATTCTCCCTGCCAGACATTGTTCACGTCCCGGATGCCACGCGTTCCATTTATTCCGAAGAAATACAACACCCGGCGACAGGCCCTTCGTACGTTCGCACGTGGGTACAAGGAGCGGCCAACATCGGTGGCGAGCGATATCCGAACTAGTTTGGGTCCTTCAGTCGCCACCCTCCCCGTCGTCACCACCACCACCAAAACCGCAATGACCAGCGTGGTGAAGTATGGTCAAACAACCCCCCACGATTTTGATTTAAAGCTTTCGTGACTGCAGGGATTCATCTTCTTGGTTCTTTCGGCGGTAAAGTCACGTAGAATGGAAATAATTAAATAATAAAAATAAAACATAATAAAATAATTCTCACGACGTTTCGGCCACAACGCAAGCAGCCGTCCTCAGGTGAAGAACAGGTCTGTCGAGACGACAGAGTCTAAATGACACACCCCAGGCTTGGAGCGTATATTTAAGCTGGGAGGGAGGAGGAAGAGCGCCTTGACAAAATAATTTGCATATCAAGAGGAATTTTAGCATATTCATGGGAAATGCAGATATGCGATGAGTACTACTTGTGAAATGCGTAGGAGGTTTAGCGAGGGGTTTAAAGTTGTGTTTTGCCCGTGCATTATGCAGGATTAGCAGCATCAAAGGGAGGAGATAGGGGGAAGCATTAATAAAGGGAAGGAATGTTAATAGTCTGTAGCTGCAGTAACTAAACCACCACGTAAACAACTAAAGTATAAACTACATAGTATCATCAGTATACTAAATATACTCTCCACCCCATGAGTGACACGGCAGTGCTGTACACGCGTGTCGTTCCGTCGCGTAGCGCTCGGTGTGTCGCGCCACGAAGCCCGGCGACTCGAGCTCGGTTCCCGCTCACGGCCACCAACATCGGTGACGATTATTCGAATCGGTCCTGGGCCTCCCTTCGGTTGACTCAGCCTCAAATGAGTACCTGGTGCGGCGTGTAAACATCGCCACCCACCCCCTCGTGTGACGTGCTGGCCTTCATAGGTGCTCGCTAACAGCACTTGCCCCAACATTTTGTTAAGGCTATACGGGGGATCTTTGTCTCTTTTTGCTAGGCATGTGTCACATGACAGCTCTGGACTGCCTTGTGTACGAGATGCTCCATCTCAGGAAATTGCCCAGAGTGAATATCTCTGTGGCTCGGCGGTAGAGTGAGCGGCTCCCAGTGGAAAAGTCGCGAGTTCACATCCTGCGGTAGATAAAATAGGTACCGCTTTGTGGGGAAGTCAACAGTCGTTGTCCTGTGGATAGACTAGCCCCCACCATGGGAATGTGGAATTTCCCCTACTGCCTCAAGGCTCATTTGGCGAGGAAATGTCTCTGACATTTGACTTTGGGTTACATACCGTGATAACTTTAACAGCCTGAGACAACCGAGCTAAGAGTGATGTACAACACTAAGGGGCTGTCCATAAATGACGTCACGCGATTTTGGACGATTTTTGACTCCCCCCCCCCTTCGTCACACGGCGTCACAAAAAGTCAGACCACCCCCCCTCAAATATGACGTCACAAAGCTCTGCCCCCCCCCCCCCCCAAAAATTAAACATGCTTCAAATCGTTGTTTTATATTTATATTATTTTATTATTTCCCTTCTACGTGACTTTACCGAAAGAACCAAGAATATGCTTCAAATCGCTTTAAACTATTGTCATTGTAGTGCGTATTTAATGTGCCGCTGCACTCTGATGTTGTAGGAGAAAACATTTATTAAAAAGTCTATTTAATTAAGTAGAACGTGTTGTCTATATTTATTTAAAGTGGCGCATTTTGATGTGACGTCACATTTCTCAACCCCCCCCCCCTCGTCACACATCGTCACAAGTGTCTGACCCCCCCCCCCCCCGCAGGTGCGTGACGTCATTTATGGACGGCCCCTTACACACGCGTTCATACAAACGTATACCCCTAGTGTATACACGTGCATTAACAACACGCGTGTGTGTGTATAACAACAACACTCCTACAACTACGCGTGTCAGTGCACGTGTATTGGTGCGTGCGCGCGCTTTAAACTCCACTTGCCGGTATGCTGCCACGTGTCGGCGTTGGCACACTTTGCCTTGCGGGGCTGGTTGGCTGACCAGCACGAACCCTTCGCGATGTGTCTGTGTGTGTGTGTGCCCACCGGAGCTTCTGGGCATTAAGCGGTGGCGGTGGGCGGGTGATGTGATGTGTGTGTGGGGGGTGTCGCTAGCGGCGTGCGTGCGGGTCTCTGGTATTGGATTACGGCGGAGGCAGGGGCGGTATGGTTACGAGAGAGCGAGGAGGGAGGCTTTTAGAGCGCCACCACAGCCAGTTCGCGTGGAACAGTCGCGATCAGTCGGCCAAGGCCACCACCGGCTCGGCAGCTGGCAGAGAGTTCCGTGGGCAACGCTCCGTTTGGCAGGGGGGTTCCGGCCGCTGCAAGGTTTGCGTTTGAGCGCTCAGGTAAGTCCAGGTGTGAGGAGTCTGCAAACTCCACCTCGGAGGGCAGTAGAAGCTCGCCGCTGTGTTTTTCTGCTCCTTGCCCCGCGCGCTTATCCAGCGCTCTTGAAGCCAGGGTTGTTGGTGGATGGCACAGATGAGTGAAATTCTGGGCTGCGATATCACCATCCCCTTGGCTTGCCAGGGTACGGCAGTACAGCAAGTAGGTTCATTTATATCTTCACGGGGATCACACCTCTCCTCCCTTGCATGTGTATGTTCTATCCTGATACTCTGGTTTCCTCCCACATGTATACATTCTCATTAATGGAATTTACCAAATATCCCAAAATAGGATCACAGAACTTGGGCGATTCATGGCCCCCGCTTTGGCAGCCTTCCCGCTCGTCTGTGCAGCACTTGGCAAATATGTGTATTTTATTTATCAGTTTGACAGGATGTCTGGCGTTACGCTGCACATACTGGGAGCTTATTAAGGCGCTGGACGGACATTGTGCTGGACAACACGAGGGGCAACACGACAACACTTCGGAAAGAGCCGCGCGGCACAACCGCGGAAGCGTTGGGCGGTAGTAGGTACGACCAACCCGTGGGGTTTTCAATTCTCAGATTGACTGAATTGCGATGGCGGTGAGCTCATGTTGAGTGGCTTCTTGAGCAGAGGGGCGCATAACGTACGCAGCTCCTCAGAAGATCTGGTCATCATTACATGGTGGTGATGATAAAATTGTTGTTGTAAAATTTTGACTTAAAACTTTCGTGACTGCAGGAATTCATATTCTTGGTTCTTTCGGTAAAGTCACGTAGATAAAAAACAAAAAATAATTAAAAATATTAAAAATTCTAAAAGAACATTATATTATTTTCAATGTATTATTTTATTACATTTTTTTATAATAAAATTAATTTATTTAAATTTCATTTTATTAAAAAATATTTTATTTAAATTTTGTAATTTCTTTTTATTTTCTATCTACGTGACTTTACCGAAAGAACCAAGAATATGAATATTGTTGTTGTTATTGTGCTTCTTTACCCAGAAAATCCTCACGGAGTATCGTGACATTCTTTTTCAGGAGGGTCCTGCCAAGTTTTCGCAATATGAGCCCAATTATTGCCGTGTACTTTCCAACGGAGTCACTTGCGGATAACTCTTCCAAACTTGTTTCAAACTTTGGACAATGACACCAGCACACGATGAGGCCCCACTCTTGCGAGTGACCCCACGTGATCTGGAACGTCCGCCGTGAAGCGGGCGGCACTTGGTAGTTTGGTAGTGTTTGATGCGGGGGTATCCATCGTGGGGGGGGGGGGGCGCTGAATTCGAACCGTGGGCCTCGGTAACAAAGGGGCGGACGCGGCAACCTCCGGGCAGCGTCACGGACATACTTCACCACCAATTGTCGCCCCCCCCCCCCCCCACGTGGCACCTGGGGCTCTGTAACACCCGAAGTGGGATTTTTTTCTTTCTCAAAGCGGAGTGGCTGGATGAATTCTCGCCCGCGTAGACATCGAACCCTTGACGCTCGGGCGTCAAGGGTTCCATATCTATGCGGGGACCTCAACCATAAAACTGGAGAGGAGTCTACGTATGTATGTTGAACTTCTTTTGCGCCGTACGTAACCAACCGTACACCGTGTAGAGTAAATACATGCAAGATAAAATCCCCCATATAGCCTGCAGAAGGGGGTTGGTGGCCAGCACCACGCCCGGCCACCTTTGTTTCCCCAGTCGTGATGTTCACCCCACCGCACCAGGTACTCATTTTATGCCATGTCAACCTGGAGGACCAGTCCAAATGCTCATCAGCGATGTTGGCCGTGAGCGGGATTAAAATTCGGGACAAGCGGGTTCGATGTGCGTTGTGCTAACCGCAGCACGACCGCTCCCCATGCGTGTGTTTACATACGCAGGATGACACGCCTGTTCCCAGAACGACACAATTCCACCCAAAGTCCAGGGATGGAAAAACAGTGCCAAACGTTTGCGTCATCAGACAGCTGTCTGAAATGTTGGCATAACACACATAGTGGAAAAAAAAACTAATTGGTGTTTAAGCAAGCAAAAGCCCATTGCTATCCATTAGTATAGCATGCAATGCTACATACACTCTATGTATATTGCAGGCCACAGTATATTTTCCAAATATTTTTGTAAATTGTGGAAATTAAGTCGGCTTCTTATCACGCCTTCACCATGGTTACAAATGCCATGGTCGCTTTGCTCCTTCATTGCTCCACCCATGTTTACCAGACTCACTGTTTCATCTCATTCGCCATGCTTCAGGTCACCACAACTCACTCACTCACCCACCCATTTAATCACCCGCCCACCCACTCTCTCAATCATTCACTCACTCACCCGATCACTCACACACTCACCCACTCACCTACTCAAGCAGTCACCCACGCACCCACCCACCTATTCACTCACTCACTTATCCACTCAATCATTCACTCACTCACCTGATCACTAACACACTTACATATTCAAGCAGTCACTGACACACTCACCCACCCATTTACTCACTCAATTACCCACCCACTCAACCATTCACTCACTCACCCATCCACTCACCCACACACTCACCAGACTACAGGTCACACAACACGTGCCCCCTCTGCTTCGTCCCTCACACTGCTGCACTTTACCATTCCTTCCCGTCATCTCCTTTCCCAAGCTCCTATAATAATAACAACAACCTTGAATGTATATACGTTGAACTTCTTTCGCATCGTACGTAGCTCATTTCAGGAAACGTAGTAGCTCTGTATCTCTTACAACTGTGACAGTGCTGATTGTTGCTGGCCGCTGGATGTCTTTGGCCTGTGCTCAGGCCAAAACATATCGCCACAGTGGCCACCTCGCCTGACATACAGGAGGTTGTGGGTTCGATCCCAACCCTGACCCCGTCGCCTGTATATTTGGAGTTTGCGTGTTCTCCCCGTGGTCACGTGGATTTTTCTCCGGGTCCTCCAGTTTTTCCCCTCCACATTTAGAAACATGAGTTGAGAGTAAACTAAACTACACTAAACAGTTGTTATTTAATCAGGTAAGGCCCACTGAGCTGTATATCTATTTTTGAGAAGCGACCTGTCACAAATTGTTATACATTTTCACATGATGATAAGCCACTTAAATTTCGATTTTAAAGCTTTCGTGACTGCAGGAATTCATCTTCTTGTTTGTTTCGGTAAAGTCACGTAGAAGGGAAATCATGTTTTTATTTTATTTTATTATTTCCAGTCTACGTGACTTTACCGAAAGAACAAAGAAGAAGAAAAGCCACTTCATTGGGCGACGATTTGTGAAAGCCAGGTCGCTTCTGAAAAATAGATATATAGCTGAGTGGACCTTACCTGGTAAAACATTTTTAATATATAGATAGTTAAAATGACATAGTTTACAGCATCTTCTTGGTTCTTTCAGTAAAGTCACGTAGAAGGGAAGTAATAAAATAATAAAAATAAAACATAATAAAATAATTCTCACGACGTTTCGGCCACAACGCAAGCAGCCGTCCTCAGGTGAGTGTGGCCGAAACGTCGTGATAATTATTTTATTATGTTTTATTTTTATTATTTTATCACTTCCCTTCTACGTGACTTTACCGAAAGAACCAAGAAGATGAATCCCTGCAGTCACGATAGCTTTAAATCGAAATTGAGTTTACAGCAGTTAACCAATTGGTCGGCACGCACGTACGACATTAACCTCAGGTGCTCCACCGCGCCTCCATGCAAATTGGTTGGCACAACTTTCCGTCGCGAACGTGGCCAGCGGGTTTTAAATAGACGATAACCCCCTCCCCCCGCACCTGCAGAATGCCGACACGTGTAGCGTTTCACACAACGCTATTTATACATGCGGCACGGTATATATATATGTATTAAAAAAAAAACTCTACACCACTGATGGCGAGCCGTGTTCTGAGCAAGCCGTCCGAACGCAATCATTAAACCTCCACAGCCTGCTACACACTACACAACACATGCTGTAGTGTCACTTAATTTCACAGTCGGGGGGCGGGGGCGGACAATATATCAGGGCGGTAGGAGTCACGACACACGCGATGTTAAACGAAACTTCAACTGAAAGTTAGAATGCCGAACAGAGTAGCGATGTGACCTGCTTGTCGACCCGTGCCTTCTTGCTTGGTCTCCGTGACCCCCTGTGTACGGTGGCTAGGAGATGTTAACTACCTCGCCTGGTAAACAGGAGGCCGTAGGTTCGATCCCGACCCCTGACGCCAGCTGCTGTATATTTGGAGTTTGCACGTTGTCCACGTGGTCGCGTGGATTTTTCTCCGGCTCTTCCGGATTTCCCCTCCACATTTAGCAATATACGTTTAGAGTATTTGGCTGCTGTAAAATTCCACGTGATAAGCCACTTCGTTCAACTATCATTTGTGGCCGCCAGGTCGCTTATGAAAAAGAGCTACATAGCTCAGTGGGCCTTACCTGTTAAAATAAAAAAAAAGTTTTTTGTAGTGTAACAAGAACTGTGACGGAAAAAAAACACCACTGGTGCTAAATAGTCTGCCAACATTTTATTTACTTGACATGAAATAAGTTGGTATGGGGAGGCGGCAGAGCATTCAGCAGTGGGAGAGGGGAGGTAGAGGGAAGGGGTCCAGCCCCCGACAGCCCACCACACACGATGGGTTGCTGCTGTTGAACTTCTTTTGCACCGTACATAGCCAACCATGCTAATAGGAGGTGCCGGGGAAGGACGAGCAAACTTAACGATAAAAAAACCTGTCCTAAAGAAATTAGTTTTTAATCTAAATTATTGAAAAGTGCACAGCTCCAATGGTTTCCTAATATGGGAAGGAAGAGCGTTCCAGACGGCACCCAAAGCATCCGAAAGCGCGTGATGTAGTGACCGTCTTTGTTTGATCGCTAGCCATATTCTATGACCTTACTGACGCCTGCCATGGAAATTTGGAATTTCCACCAATGGCAATTCCCCAAATAAGGTTACATCAGTTACGGCAGAAGCAGGTAGCTGTTTAATAATACGAAGAAGTATTAATGTTCATTATAAGTTCACTGCAAAGGTTGCACGATCGTTGTTTGAAATTTAGTGAAACGATGATTAAACAGTTTTTATTTTCCGTAACTGACGTACGGCAGTTTTCGAATAACCCTGCAGATCAATTTGGTGAATTTGGCTGAAAGTGAGTAGCTTGCGCGCGTGCATATCAGAACACCGTGAAACTGCGTCCGCCTTTGAGAAGTTGCGCACAGTTTATCACAAAAGCTTTTTTTAAATATCTATTTTTGGCAAGAGAACGACATTGTCTCTGCAGCTACTGTGTGAATTGTCTCCGTGTCTGACATAGCCGTGCACTTAGGTGTTGATACTGCATAAATGCAAATTGTGACTCATGACAGGGCGTAATGTATTACACATTTGTTAGCATGAATAAATAATACAGTTGTACGGTTTATGTGCAGTGAAGTTTGGCCGTTATAATTTAATGTGCAAGGAAGCTGCTACGGTGTAATGGTCAGCGCCCTGATTCCATCTCCTGGTGCGGCAAGTTTCTTAAATGACTGCCCACCCCCTTCACCAGCAGTGAAAATGTGTGTTCCGCAATTAGTCGATCTACAAAAGCGTTGATGTAATGTGTTTTTTGATACGCTTGCATTTTGATTATTTATCCCGGAGAGACACACTGAGTCGCAGACAGATTTTTCAGTTCAGATTATTTTGAAGTACCCTGTGAGCCAAGAAGCTTTTAAATCGAGGTTCATCAACAAAAACGATAATCCTACAAAAGTCACAGTTAAATAAGTCAATAATAAACAATAACAGATAAGAGGAAAAAATAGCAAGCAAATCATAATCGCAATAGGAAAATTCTCTTTTTTTTTTAAGAAAAATTAAGTTAAATTATAGATTATCATCAAATACCAGGAGGGTCCTACATTGGGTTTTTATTTTAAGATACTTTCAACTCATTAACGATGAGTTGTTTATGCAAGTGGGAGGAAACCGGAGCGCCCGGAGAAAACCCATGCCCGTGAGGGGGCAACGCTCGATCCCCATGCAGATGGACACAGATGGTGATTAGTCCGTTCGCTGTACTGCCTCCCCCTTGCGAGTCAGGGTAAGTGGCGCCTTGACGCTCACGGGGAGTTTGACAACTTTTGTGCTGTGATCCTCCAACCTTCGCTGCCTCCACAATGCTGAATTACAGGCCGCGTGGAAGCCACCGCCTGGCTAATCATTTACTAAGCCACAAACCCCCCCCCCCTTGTGTCTGTTATGCAGTCTGTTACTCCATGTACACAGGTAGTACATTAAACCTGACTCACGGTGTGTGCTTTGGCAATGAAGTGCCTTTGTTGAAAAGTCATGATCTTCCTTACTCTTATAAAGCAGATGTGTTTTCTACACTTGGCAAGAATCGTTAATGTTGACGCTGTTTGCCTGTTAACGTTCACCCAGAGTTACCATGAAGCGTGGTATCCATTTGTATCTCTCTCCGATCAGTGCGGCCCTTCTTCGTGTTGTACAGCGGCCCGCGGGAGGCTTCTAGGCAGAACTTCCCCCATGCGCTGAGAGTGATGTTCATCGCATGACATTCAAACCAATATTTTTTGTTCATTCTCAGAGCTCCAAAGTGTGCGTGTGTGTCCAGTCATTGGCGATTTGGGCTGCGAACATAAACTGACTACACTTGAGAACACAAGTGTAATCACAAGCAGCTTGCCTGGAATTGAACCCAGGCTCTAAGCAGTTCTAGCTCTCTGCTCTGACCTCCCAGCTACCTCCACCCCCCTTCCACCCCATCATTATTTTAAACAGGGACAGTCCGCGACTCCCGATCATTATGGAGACAGGCTAGAAATTCGCTCGATCTCCACTGGTGGCGGCCTCAACGCTGCCAATTTGGCACGCCACTCCTGATGAACTCACGCCACCTGTGATGAACTGACGCCACTCGTGATGACAGCCCCTCAATTGATGAAGCAACTTCACTTTGTCAATAATCTACTGCAAGATGAAGCCCCCCCACCCCCTACCCCCCACGTATTGGTTATGGAGGGGTTTTGTTTTCACCATACTTCACCACTCTGCTCAGTATGGGTTGGTGAAGGGACATGGGGGTGGAGAAAGAAGAGGGCCAGTTCAGATGTCACTGACGTTAGCCGTGGCCGGGATTCGAATGCAGGTTACCACCAAAGTTACCATAATGCAGTGCGCTAACCACTGTGCCACCATTTTACCCCGATCACGCGCTTAAACAGTGGATGGAATGCATTTTCATTTAATTTTGGAGGATTTCCGGCATCGATGTATTTTTCTGCATTCAGTTTGAACGCCGCAGGGCCTAGAAAAGGTATGTGACATGCCAACTTTCATGGGCGCTGCTCGCTAATAGCACTATCCCTTGCGGCCTGTGAAGGATGCACAGACGGAGTCTTCAGCGGCCATCGAGTGAATCGCTGGGGCACGGCGATCGTCCACTTGCCGAGTGTGCGACGAGCGCGGGGGTGAGAGGCTCGCGGTCCTGATCGTTACCCGCGGTGTTTCACCAGATGTTGCGGGCCGCTGGGTTTGTCGAGCGACGCCTTGGCGGGCTGGAGGTCGCGCGTCTCCCGTAGCCGGCGGGTACGGAGCTCGCACCAGCGGCGGCGTGCTCTCCCGTCGCGTCACACCGGCCGGCGGCTTGACGCCCTTGATGCTGCGGAAAAGGAATCTCTGCGAGATCATGAAGCTATGGGGCCAGATCATGAAGGTTATAATCCTCGTGGCAGTTTTGCTCTCCTTCCTGATATACACGGTGCATCACACCGACGACCACTCGGACAGTTTAAAGGACATGTGGCTCATGGAGCCCTCTCTGAGCACCTCCAAGCTGGTCCAGTGGCAGATCAGTCCTGCCGAGTGGCAGGCCGCCGACAAGGAGCTCTACGACATCCGGTGCAGCGAGATCCTCCAGCAGGATCCGCGAGAAATTGGGAAAACGCTGAAGATCCGGAAGAAGACGATAGTCGACCTGACCGACGAAGACGTGCTGCTCCTGACCGACGACTGCCCGGTGTTTTTGGAGACGAGGAAGTACTTCTCGAAGCACGTGTCCGCGGAGGAGAGAGACTTCCCCATCGCGTATTCGATCGTCGTGCACAAAAATGCCGCCACGCTCGAGCGCCTGCTGCGTGCGATTTTCGTGCCGCAGAACGTCTACTGCGTGCACGTCGACGCCAAGTCGTCCGCCACGTTCAAGTCCGCCGTGCAGAGTCTCGCCAAGTGTTTCGACAACGTATTTGTAGCGTCCAAGCTGGAGGAGGTGCACTACGCGCATATTTCGCGCTTGCAGGCCGACATCAATTGCCTCGCCGACCTGCTGAAATCGCCCGTGCGTTGGAGGTACGCAATTAATCTCTGCGGGCAGGACTTTCCGTTGCGGTCCAACCGAGAGCTCGTGAGCGAGCTGACGGGCCTGCAAGGCAGGAGCATGCTGGAGACCGGCAAGCCGTCGGCGTACAAGCAGCAGAGGTTCACGCGCAAGTTTGTCCTCGCCAGGAGGGATTCCTCCCTCCCGGCGTTGCAGGACACCCAAACGGCGCTGGCGCCGGCGCCGCACGGCCTCGAGGTCTTTGTCGGCAGCGCCTACTTCGTGCTGAGCCGGGAGTTCGTCCGCTTCGCGATGACGAGCGCCGTGGCGACGGATTTCCTGCGCTGGTGCGCCGACACCTACTCGCCCGATGAGCACTTCTGGGCCACCCTGGCGCGCTCGCCGCAGGCCCCCAGCGGCGGCAGCGGCGGCGGCGGCGGCGCTGATGTGTCGGACCTGCAGAGCAAGACGCGGCTCGTCAAGTGGAGCTACCTCGAGGGGCGGCTGTACCCGGCGTGCACCGGGCGGCACGTGCGCAGCGTGTGCATCTACGGCGCGGCCGAGCTGGGCTGGCTGCTGCAGGACGGCCACTGGTTCGCGAACAAGTTCGACCCGCACGTCGATCCCGTGGTCGTCAAGTGCCTTGAAGAGGAGATCTCCAGCAGGCAGAACGCACGTGAGTGATGGGAGTGCCTTCGCGGACGCGTGAGGGTCCACAGAGGAGCTGCTGGTGTTCGTGAGACAGGGCGGACCCGAAGCCTTTGGTTAGACAGGAAGGCGGGAATCATCCTGCCTTTCTGCTACGTCGGTAGAGCTGGCGTGTCCACAGCAACCTGGCCCATGCCAAAGCGATGCTACAGAGTTCTTGACTCATCCTTGGCTCTCAGTCCCATATCGAGCTGTATGCTCAGAGCAAGGCTGACCCCAAAGCCGGTAAGGGTCAACGTAGGAGCAAGAGGCACGTGCTGTGACATCACGGATTCGTCGGCCACGTGCGCGTAAAAATTGTGCAGTAGAAAATCACAAGACAAATTTATTTTAGCGTAAAATAGGCTACCCGAACCACAGTTTAATGTTTTTTTATTGAAGTATGAGTATTGTTTTAGATTGCTTCCCCCCCCCCCCTGCCCACCCACCCAGCTCCCGGACGCAGATGGTGGAGGAAGGAAAGGGGCGCTGAGGGGACAGAACAAATGTGATGAGCAGAGCCCACAGAGTCCCACTGCATGCGGAGGATAGGGACGGAGGCTCAGGCCCGATGCTGCTTCCGCGTCACGTCTGGGCAATTCCTGGGCCAAATCGTGGAGTCATTTCTGGGACAGGGAGCGCAATTCTCAGTGCTCGTGGAAGTTAAAAAATGCGGCAGCGCCTCGGATTAACACGGCCGGCTACGCAATTTGCGAAGTTCCACATACATGTGTAGTGAGTTCAAGGAGACGTAGACGACGTAGTCGGAGGCACACTTATTTATTCAACCAAAGGGCAGAACACAATATTTGAAAGGGTAACGGCCCCTTAACCCATCTAACAGGGAGACCACCCCTAGCGCTAGCCCGGCTAGTCTGCTCCCAGGTCCTCCACTAGAGAGCTAGGGGAGGCTAGCTGATCCAGCTCTGGCCAAGCTAGGATCTCGGCACCCTTAGCCAACCAGACCGGCTCTTACAAGAGCATCGGCTCTGGGCTCTCAGGGCCGCGCCGCTGGCTTGCCCTGGTCGGTCCTTAGAAGGACAGCGAGCCAGGGGAGTCCCAGGGCCTATCCTGCCGGTCTTCGCTCTTCGCTGATTAAGCTGTAATACTCGACCCCGAGCCCACCGGCTCCCCGCCTTATATAGCAACTCCCCCCGAGGGGTGGGGCTGTGGGGGATCACAGCGCCGTCACAGCCCCCCAGGGCTAACCGTTGCGGACGTGGATGTAGGCACCCTTACGCGTGCGGGCGCAACCACCCCTTGTGTGTTTGTTTGCCCTCCTGTAACACCCCTACACATGCATAGGACAAAGATAGGCAGGCCTCCTCCTGCCAACAAAGTCCCTGGGACATACGATAAGTGTCGATAATGCCAGTCGACGGCTGGACTCTGCTGAGTCTGGAAATAGCCGAGTTGTTTCCGGAAGATTTGGCCTGGGTTTGTAAAGTGCAGCTCAGGTCAACACAGTGAGAGCCTTGTTCGGTTACAGATGATTTGAAAGTAACATATTTATCCATGTTTTACAAAGTTGCACGACTGCACAGGGAGTGTTTGTGCCCTCTGCATGGTTTTAAAATTGGCTCATGTAAGTAGCGTATATATATTTTTGTATTGGCACATGAAGTGATGTGAGCACTGCTGGCTAAGTACGGTGCAAAAGAAGTTCTACATGCATGCAGAGGGGTTATGTGTTGCTGTGTGTATGTGTGTGTGTTTCAAACTGTTTAAACGTGGCCTTTTTTAATGCAACTTCAAATAGAATATGTTTGGAAAAGTGAGCAGGAAGTGCCCTTTATATGCCTGGGCTTGGGTTAATTTATTTCGTTATTGGTTTACCCGCTAGAATTCAGTAGTTTCTTGAAATCACTGAGCTGGGTCCATTGGTACAGTGCAGATGAGCAGAACAGTTTTTTTTTATTGCTTTCCAACTACGGTTGAAAGCACGAATGCATTCGCTACGACGAAGTAGGCTTTCGAAACCATTATTACCCATGAGAGGTTTTTGCGTTAGATTGCGTAAATGTGTCGTTAAACCCGCCACCACCCTACGCAGTCAATTACTAAGGTGTGTCACGTCAACAAATAAAATCAAATTCGTTACTGTTCAGGAAACCGGTGGGTTGGAGAGGAAACCCACAACATTTACAATTTGAGTGCCGTGAAGCTGGTTGTTGTAATTAGCGCCGAAACGTTGTGCGACTCAAATTGTAAATACTCTTTGGTTTTTTCGGTAAAGTCACGTAGGTTAAAAATTCCACCTGAAGACAGAAGCTTGTGTTGCCTCCAAAACGTCGTGATTTAATTTATTAAAAAAAATTACCTACGTGACTTTACCGAAAAAACCAAAGAGTATGAATCCTTGCAGTCACGAAAACTTCAAATCTAGAATCAAATTGTAAATGTTGTGCGTTTACCCTCCAACACACAAGTGGTGTGCTGAACAGTAACGAATTGGCACGTTTTGTTTACGTGTCAAACCTTACCAATTGGCTGTGTCGGGTGGTGGCAGGTTTCACGATGCATTTATATTCACGCAACCTTACCCAAAAACATCTATTACGCATGATCCATCCGTCTGTTCCAACGTCACGTGAAGCTGATCCAATCCAAGCCACATTATATTTGTGCGTCTTGGGACCGACAGTGTTAAACATAAATAAATAAAGTGGCCAAATGTATTGAAGGCCCTTGCATAAAAAAAACTGAGTGATACAAATGAAGCAATGAGTGGGTCACAATGCCAGGTGTAATTCAAATCATGAACTGTATAATAAAAAATAAGCAGAAGCGCTGTTTAAAAATAAAACTCTTTCTACTTTGTGCTTCGTCGCCAAAGTCGACGAATCAGCAGAGTTGCGTGGTGCAGGGCGATGGATGAATGATTGATGAGTGTCGCTGTCGACGTGTGGCTTATAGTGGCCGGCCAGAAGCCAGGGGTAACCCTACCTGGCCGCAGTGACCGCCTGTTTCCATATTGTCCTCCAAATTTCCGTTTGGCTCGCCGGTGTGAAGCCCGCACTTTACTGGACGCGAGTCGGCATTCGTCTACGGTACGGTGTCGCGTATCCGACTCGCTGGGGAGGCCGAGGCGTAGGCAGATTCGTGACAAGGTCGGATATGAGATCATCTACAGAAAACGACAGTTCAGTTCATCGCGGACGAACGCGAGGTTAAGAGAATTAGTGACTGCGTACGCAAAGGTTTTCGGAACATCTGGTAGAAAATCACAGATTAGTTGGTCAGGGTCAATGTGATGGTCAGATGAGTGAGGTGGTGCCGTACTGCCTTTGCTTGCGGTCGGTTTGAACGCATTGCAGATGGAAGTGTGGAAAAAGTATGTGTAATGATGTACAGTGGACCTTGGGTTTCCATGAAAAGTGCTTCCGTCAGTCTGATTTGTGTGTGGACGGATGTTAAAGCCGGGGCTATTGAACCACTTTTCATGGTCCATGTATGTTGATTTACCAGGGATGTTATGATGCACCACCAAACCCTTCTTGTAATTCAGGGTCCCGTTTCGATCTCAGAATGGTTTCACCCAAACACTGCGGCTGCGAGGCGATGTTGCGTCTATCACAGGCGGCGCACACAGTCACGTGGCATTTCTCATACCCGCTAATCCGACGCGTGGACTGTGCGAGCTTTATCGATCGACGTCGATTCGATCGGCTCGGTGGTGCATCGTTCCAACCCCGTGGTGGTCATCAGAACTTCTGCACAGGTCTTATTCTTAGGTTTTTTCGGTAAAGTCACGTAGGTAAAACATAAAAATTTATAAAAATAAAATAAAATAAAGATCACGACGTTTCGGAGGCAACACAAGTCTCCGTCATCAGGTGGGACCGTCACAGCCAGATTCCACCTGATGACGGAGACTTGTGTTGCCTCCGAAACGTCGTGATCTTTATTTTATTTTTATTAATTTTGATGTTTTACCTACGTGACTTTACCGAAAAAACCTAGGAATATGAATCATTGCAGTCACGAAAGCTTCAAATCTAGAATTCTGCACAGGTCACCCGGAGAGGCGGGCAGGGGGGGGGAGCAGTGGTGCCCTGACAGCGGCTCTGTGGTTCGTGACTTTCTGTTCGTCCGTGCCGTGGGCCGGCCGTGGCTGTCGCACGCACGCTCGCTCACGATCAATCCTGAACCAAGTCGGCTACATTTCACACAAGCACAGTCCGTACATTTCAGAAGTGAATGCTTTGCTGAAAGTGGTGGTTTTTTTGTTTGTTTGTTCATAAAATGTTGATGTTGTACTTATTAAAGTTTTATTTTCAATGCTTTGGTTCCCCTTCGTTTTTTTTTTAAATACATTTATTTTTAAACTCTTACTTGTGATTTTCAACGCATTGTTACATCCGCCCTAAATGACCCCGATCGAACCGGGCCGATGCGTTCCTCACGAGTCAATTATTTCTCACATCTCGTCGTGATGCATCGTTTGATGAAAAAAAAAAGACAGTGCCGTTTCGAATATTTGGCAATGTCGTATCTTCCGCCCACCCCCACCAACCCCCACCGTGTTCTTGCAGGGCCTCCCCGCTCCAAAGTGGATGCAGGTTTTCGTTGGTCTTGGCTGGATTTGGCTTCAGAACCACCACCCAGTTCGACCGGATTTTTCATCGCGCGTGGCCAAACGAGTTGGAGCGAGAGGCTGCCAACTTTTTAGAGCTACGGCTGTCTCGAGACCTCGCCACGAGGTGTGTGTGGGGGTTTCCCCGAGCAACGACGCTTCAGTCAAAGCGACTCGTTCCAGCCAAAAGTCTAGCGACTTTTACCGGCGGCGGCTCGCGATGGCAAGGGGGTGCGGTGTTCACATCCCTGGTTGACGGTTGACTCAGCCCATCATCCCTCCGGAGGGGGTCGATAAAATTAGTACCAATAGGCCAGGGAAGTCGACAGTGATTTTCCTATGGATAAACCTACCACCCCCACCCAGCCCCCGCCATAGGAATGTGGAATTCCCACCACTGACTCAGAGTTGTAAAGAGGAGACAAACACCACCTCAGTGCTCGCTTTAAAGACCCAACGCAGAAGATCCCCTGGGTTTGGTCTTCCACGAACTCGTGGTCCACCTCAAATCGCATCCACCGCACAAACCGTGCATCAGATACCTGATGCAAAAAATTTAAACATAAAAACTCTCCAGTAGCAGCGTGCGACTGTAGTTAACCATAACAGACCGTAACAACGTATAACGACGCAATGCCCTATCCACAAATGCGAAGAAGACATCACAGCGATACACAACTACGCTTGCTCCCGGCGCGTTTGTCTGGGCTTGACCATCTGAACGTGAGAGTGTAGTTGTTACACCGCGTCTACATCAGCAGCCACACGAAACAAGGAGTTGCTCATTCGAGCGTGAAATTATTTTGCCTGTGTACCTCACCGCAGATGACATTATGCCGACTTAGCAGGGATCTCAGGTGCCCCTAGTCTAGGCATTTAGTCGAACACTGTTCTGTTGTTTTGCACCGTTGCCCTGGTGACCTTTGTCATTCGGGATGAGGAATTCCGTACTGGCAATCAGACACCTTTAGTCGCGGTGGTGGTGTTGTTCTTGTTGTTGGTGCGAGTAAAGACAGGGTCTTTCTTGTCGCTTGGTAGGGGGGGGGGGCGGTGTCGGGAAGGCCGTGTGGGTGGACGTGATGGTAAGGTTGTGCATAAAGGATCACATGTCAGTTTAACACGTAATAGGCTTTCGCGACCAATATTATTCATAATCAACGTTTTTGGGTTAGATCGCGTTATTTATAAATGTTGTGGTTTCACGCTTCAACACACCGGTGGGCTAAAGCAGTGAACTATTTGTCTTTTGTCAACGTGACACTTTTTTGCTGATTGGCCGTATCGGGTGGTGGAGGGTTACGACACATTTATAAATAACGCGATCTAACCCAAAAACGTTGATTATGGATCACATATCAGTTTACTGCGCGCAATGTTGAACATTTCGTCCGGCGGCACTATTCCACGTGTGTGTGAAGGATCCTGTAAAGGAGCGGGCAACTTGACATCCGGGCAATCGGAGTCAGTAGATAAACTCAAGTCTGCTTGGAAACCCCCATTTCTCTGAAGCGGCCTTCCATCTTTAGGTTGGTCAGTTGCCCCTGGTTCTGTTTTTTTGTTTCACTGCTTTTCATGCATTTGCGCATTGGGGTCTTAGGGTGGAGGGCGCTTTACACATTTGAAATATTATTGTTATTGTGAATTCTTGCTCACACTCAAACTGCTGGTCGAAGGGACCTCTTCTCTATAAAACGAGGGGCTCTAGCGAGCCCCCTCTGGGGGGGGGGGGGGGAATTTGGCCACTTATCCCACGCGGGCCACACACCTTAGAAAGCGGTGCGAGTGCCCACATTTTACCCCACCACGCGCTACACCTGCCGATCGACTGTGGTGTATTAACTACTCGGTGGACAGAGGCGGAATAATGGGGATTAGTGGGGGGGGGGGGGGGGGCAGAGATTTAAGAAACTTAACAGATTGATTCAAACCCTCTCGCCAGGAGGGGTGGGATCGAACCGTCGACGTCTGGATAGCGAGTCCCAACACGATCACCAAATAACATCGCAAACAGCACCCGCACGCGCGTGCGCTCTGCAGTGGCCCTCGAAATACGAGCGATCCACAGATACAGTATGCTGTTGGCATACGTAACGTATCTGAGATGCTGTTACCTCGGCTATTGCACTCTGACGCCAACAAGAGCTGGATTTTGATGACGGAGGCGAGCGGGACATTTGCCCAGGGTCCAAGACTCGCAGAGACCCCCATGAACCAACAAATACAAGACACTGCACACGTCGTTTTTGTGTTTCATATGGGATTGTTTATTCTCATTATCCTTCTTAATAAAAGCAATACAAACAACACTCCCTTCGCTCATTGCTGGCTCGTTGTTTTAATTAAAATGTTGCAATGCCCCCCCCCAACCCCATGTGCCATAGATTCACGCTCCACCACCCCGAAGGGAGTGAGAGTTATTCCTAACGTGGCCTCTCGGGAACGATAATAACCCTCCTCTGGCTCCGATTAGGGCACAGTTCACTATCGACAACGTGGGGTCGTGGCGTACGAAGCGTTACTTTGCGACGGACTCAGCTCAATAGGCCTCAATTGTTTTTTGTTTGTTTGACTCTATTATTCTTAACGATAACAATCAATAATAATAATATGTCCTGATGTGACGTCGTTCACGGGTACGCGCTTGCCCTGCAACTACATCTTGAGACGTTTAGGCATTTGGACGGGACCACAATTGTTCGTGAGAGCGGCGGCCAAAGAAGGATTGGACAACAGCGGCTGTGATGATCTCCAGCGTGGAAGATGCAGCGATGATTTATCGGCTCTCGTGCAAGGAGGGAGGTGTGATGGATTCAGTTGGACCTGGGACCCTGCATTCTGACATCCTCAGCTCCACCATGCGGATTGTTGCAGGAGCCTTGCTCGTTAGGGGCCGTCCATAAATGACGTCACGCACCTAGGGGTGGGGGGGGGGTCAGACATTTTTGACGATGTGTGACGAGGGGGGGAGGGGGTCAAAAATTGTCCAAAATCGCGTGACGTCATTTATGGACGGCCTCTTATGACAACCTCTTTGTGCATGGTGATCTCCCCCATCCGTGCTCTATCCAGGCTGAAACCTGCTTAGCTACCGAAATCTATCGAAACCCCGGGCCCATTCCGGGTGATTTGGTCGCATCAGAAATCAGACTCGGAATATTTATTCAGGCTGGAGGAATCCGATGAGCTATAAAGCTCTTTCTCACAGATGTCCAGTAGGGGCGAGTAAGAACGTTGCAACAACTGGTAATGAATGGGATTAGGTCCAACAGACACCGCCGTGAAATTCACAGCAATGGAGCGGCCACCTGCAGCATAGAGAACTATCATAACGCATCAGCCGTGATCCGTCCACTGCTGGATAAAATACCTCCCCCCCCAAACGCGATCGGCTCCCAGTTCCGTGAAGAAGGTCGTCAACTCGGCACGTGTCCCTCCAGGCCCCCCATGCACCTTCACCTTTTTTGTTCTACGGACTCCGAGGTGTCACGGCAATTAACCGAAATAAAACAACAACCAACACACGGCAGGTTAGGGCGCGGATTAAACGCACCGAGAAGAGCGACCCGCAACAACAACAACAACAACGCCGCAGGGTCGAGTTCCGATCGATACGAGGCTGTAACCTTATTTTGTTGCGAGACGCTTTGTTGTTGTCATTAGGAGCCCCCTGTGCGTCCTCTGAATTATGCATCGCGGACCGACCCCCCCACCCACCCCTCACCATGAATAATGAATGGAGGCAGCAGCGCCGCCACAGAAATAGCGCGCGGCTCATCACCTGCTACTGCTCCGTCCAGCGGACAGCCGGCGCAGCGGCTCCCCGCTTGAGCCCTCGGCAGACGCAGACTTTGTGGTTGGGCACAAGCAACGTTTCACCCCCCCTCGCCCCCCCTGCCCCCCTCGCCCCCCCCCTGCCCCCCTGCCCCCCCACCCAACGCCCCCCCCGCCCCCCCCCCTCTTGTCGGCCGATTGCGACCTCAGTGAGGCGGCTGAACTTTGACTCGGTTGCCCTGCGAGCTCAGAAGTTGTTGTTATTGTTGTTGTTGTGCGCCTTTTGGCGTCATCTGGTCCAACACCATGTGAGACTAGGCTCTAAGAAAATCTGTCTCGGGTGTGGACCAATCAATTTCAAGGACAGTGCATACATTATAATAAGAGTTGTGTTTTTTGTTTGCA